TTTTATGTCTCTGCCCATGGGCCCATGGTGTCATAATCTGTCCCTGAACGTATATAACCCGAGCTGAATTCCACTGGTTGACAACTCCCAGTGAGGACGAGGAACTTCCTCAGCACAGATTTAGGAGTCACCTGGTAGAAGCAGGGCTCCTTCAGCCACTGTTTCCAGTGAAATACAGGATGAGGCAAAGTTTGCTGTGATGGGGAAAGAGCGATCGGCCGATTCTCATTCTCTGATGCTGATGCATGCTCTTTGGTGCCAACGTGAAACACCAGACAGAATAAAGCCCCAATACCCAGAATAATGAGGGCCAGCATCTATGGACAGAGAGAGAGAGAGCGCTCAGGTGAAACTAGGGATTTTACTGGAGGGAGGACATTTCTCTGGCATCTCTCTTCTTACCCTGAACAGAGGGACATCCACTGGACCCAGGTTGTCTGTGATGGAGGGGTCAACGCTGTGCTGACCCTGGAAGTGAAAGAGCAGCCAGGCCACAGCATACACTGTAACGTTGGCCACCACAGAGAACGCGTACCTACACAAGGAGGAATAGCAACAGCTTGGTTTTTAAATAATCATCATAACAAACTGATATCCCTTTTTGAAGTAGGAGTTCCTCTGTTGTGTTTTCACCAGGGATGTGGCTTCTGTTTCTGCCTCACTGTTTTACCTTCCCTGACATCATAATCACGAATTTGACTAGCTGAGCACAGACATGTGGCTCCGTTATGCTCTTTCACTTTGGACATGCCTCAGGGGAAGTCATGACAACTTTTTAAAGACGGGAGTAAAGATCGGGTTGTGTAGAAAACAAAGGAGAGACTGGGAAAACCTGGTGGATGTGAAGAGCACAAACAATGGAAGAAATGATCACATCTCACGTGTTTGTTCTTGTCAAACACATTTAAATACTCCAATTAAAAATGTGATTACTATGACAATGGCTAACCAATTGTAACTAAAAAAAATCCAACGAGTTCATCCTTCCAGTGTAATAAAACAAAGTAAACTGTGTTGCACATTTTAAAAACATGATTAAATGTTCTTTTCCTGGCCAGTATGTGGCTGATGGTGTCACCTCACCTGTACGCTGTGAGTTCTACCTTGGCGCTCTCACTGGACACCAGCTCCGGGATGAGAGACAGGTGTGAGATCTGAGCGGCTGCCCAGCCAAACTGGAAGATGATGATGAATGGGGAGAAGTAAATGATCTGAGCCCACTGGGGAGTGTTGCTGGTGCAGGGCAGGCAGGGGTTGAAAATGAAGGGGAAGGACACAAGAACACAAATGGTTCCTGGAAAATGGTGGAAATGTCTTTAACTTTGCTAAAATACTGTAAAAAGAACATTCAAAGAGACTTGGTTCAAAATTATTCTTGTATGGAGCATTTGATTTGAGTAAATCCAATTTTACTGTAGTTTATTTCACAGTTACTACTAAATCAACAGAAAAATGTTGTATTACTTTATCACTTTAAGAGAGCCCGATGTGCAGATAACCACATATAAAAACATATTTGCGCACAAAGAACACTTAAAAAAATTAAATTAATATTTTCTTTCATAGCTTGTCAAGCAAAAAATGTCAAACAAATTCCCCAACGTTCAAACTAAAATACTCAGATTACTATACTGTGAATTCGAGAAGCTGGTACCAGTGATTTTTTGTTTTGGCATTTTGCATTAAAATAACTTGCGCATCAAAATTGGCATTTTTTTTAAACCAATCAATCAAGTTAATAATTCGAGTTATCCACTTTTGGTTTGTTTCTGGAGGTCTGTGTGAATGACAAATGGCATATAAAGTGGAGGTAAATAGGAGTCCAACAAACAGTTTTCCCCAGGGGTATTTACCATGAGACGGTGAACATACAACAAACCGCTCCGACTGAAAACACACTGCGGGGCACACACACATGTTTGCAGCATTTTAAAACGTAAGATAAACACACTCACCTAACAGATGCCACGTCTTTCTCTTGCCAAGCCACCGCACACCTGCTGTTCTGTCGGATTCATATCCCATCAGAGGTGTGCACACTCCGTCCGCTATTTGTCCCATCAGCAGCATCACACCTGCATAGGTGCTCTGGAAGCCGAGCACGGAGTGGAGGTAGACCAGCAGGTACGTGAACCACATGGAGGCGGACAGGTCGTTTACAAAATGCCCCACTGCAAAACATAAGCGCCTACAGACTGATAAAGACCGATCAATATGTACAGATGGCTCCATGATTGATTTCACTACTAAAACGTCTTTTTCCCACAATCAGAGACCTGTCGTCAAATTTACAAATAAATAATGTTACATTAATAGAGCAAAACAGTTTAACCCTGGTGAGAGCATCTCCTAAAATCCCCCCCAGCTACACATCCTAGAATAAGCGCAATATCACGGACCAGGCTGCTGCCAACAAAAGCTCCTGAGCTGAAATGACCCTTTGGACACCCCGACGCGTAAATGCGCGCTGAACCAGCCCGTGTCTTCCTCGATACATTTGGAGAGTTGTTTCGCCTTTAGGTGTTTATACTGCTTTGCAACAGGCGTGGTTATGAGTAGCATAAACTCGTGAGTTCCAATACAGCCGGTTCCTCTTGCTGCTCCAAAACAT